TTTTTAAAATAAGAACTGAAGAGAAATCTTCGTTACACATTTGAATTTTTAATTTGCACTGCTGTATTTTAAACCTAACCATATTTAGTCATTTAAAATAATTAAGTAGGCCTGAAAATCAGCCACAAGTGATATGTTAATTTCTCAATTTCTAAACTTTCAAAATTGACAAAATAAGTTTATTAGTAATATCTAATGAGTCCATGTATACTATAGAGAAACTTGTCCAAGATTCCAGGTTATTGTGCATTTGTGCTCTAATCTACTTTTTTACCTTATGGCTAATCTTTATTATGCAGACGTATACCTGTGGAATAATTGCCATATTTCAAGAGTTCCTCAGGATTCCTTTTACCTTTTTCAGTCTCTGCCTATGAATTAAACAGTCTACAGAATAGCTCACATAAGGCAATATGGTTAAGTAAAACCAGGTTAAATGGTTTTTTATCTGCCCAAAGTTGATAGCACACATGTATTTTTTTCAAAATAAGGTTAAGCTAACACTACCAAAAAGAGGATGAATGACTCCCCTCGTTGTGGAGTGAAGTTGGTGTTTCAGAAGTTGGTAGTGCAGTGTTTAGAACTCTCAAAAACACATACTGCATTGTACCTGTGACTTTTAGGAACTGAGACCTTTTCTGAGTATCTTAGAATGAGCAGTTGGCCTTAGAACCTAATGTCCTTACAGTGCTGTACTGTCTTAATGTAAGATCTTATTATGTTAGCATCCTTTTCCAAACCTTTGAAATAGTTACTGGTAACCTGCTGAAATGTTCCCATTGATGTATCAGTAGTGTCTGTTTCTTTGAAAAATGAACCGATGGGGTCAAAGCTTGTCTCACATGGCACCTATCTAATGAACAAGTAGATTTATTCAGTTTTAGCTATTAGATATGAATTTCATGTGTATTATTGTCACTCTTTAGGTTTTCACCCATACAATATGTAAATCTATCACACCGGTGAATTTATTTGCTAACAAGAAATATTTAAAACTACATTGGACTCTGAAATACCCAGTCACCAAACTCCTGGGTAACTGGATGATTTGGCTGTAATAATCTTTATTTGGTAGTGCTCCCTTTTCTTCTCGCTCTTGAAATATCCATAGCAGGATGTTGTAAATGTCTTCTAAAAATTAAAACTTTGGATTCAAAGGAAAACCGAACCCCTTCTATATTTTTGTTACTAATAATGCTTTTGTAAATTTAAATGGAAAACCACTTGTATGTATTGCTGTTGGATTGCAGTTATGCTCTCAAGTGTAATTTAAAATATTGATAAAAATTTCATGAAAGATGAATTCCAATAATCAAACAATAAATGCATTTCAAAGCTGGAATTTTGTGTGATATGTGTGATGGGTATCACCAGCGTGAAACTAAATAGTGAAAGGTATAATGTGACTTCTTTAAAAATCTAAAAACCTAAAAATATTTCATGTTTCACATACTCATTTTATTGACAGTGGTTATTTAATGCAATTTAGTAATACTGTGGTTTCATTTTGCCTTGGAACTTTTATAATTTTATTAGTATCTGTTTTTAAAAAAGTTTTTTGTCTGGTTTAAAGGCTTTTGGCCCCTAAATAACAACATAATGCATTTATGTTATATTGTGGTATAAAATAATTGTATAGTTCAAATTTACTTAACAAGTGCTATGTGTCAGACACCAAGCTCAGCACCTTGCATATGGTATCTGGTTTACACTTCATAACTTATTGGAGGAGCATTAATACCTTGATTTTACAATTTGGGAGGGCAGAGACTTACAGAGGTTAAATTACATGTCCTGGGGTCCTCTGCTGATTAGTGGTGGGGTTGGGAGCTCATGCCAGGTCCTCTGTGTGTGCTCTGTGTTTTTTGTCCTGGGGCTTGTATCATCTTCAGACCTCTGAGGTGGAATGCTTACATTTGGAGAATGTATTTATAATACTCCACAGATCTGAATGTTAGATCCGTTTTCCAATGCCAGAGTTTTCAATGTTTTCTGATACCTTTTATCAAACTTTTGCACAAACTGTGCCCAGCTTAACATATCGTAGTCTTCCTTGGAACACTATGTGTTAAACCTGGACTAGTGGCCGGGTGCAATGGCTCACACCTGTAATCCTGGCACTCTGGGTGGCTGAGGGGGGAGGATCGCTCAAGGTCAGGAGTTTGAAACCAGCCTGAGCAAGACTGATAGTCCCCCAGCCCCCAGTCTCTACTAAAAATAGAGAGAAATTAATTGGCCAACTAAAAATATATATAGAAAAAATTAGCCGGGCATGGTGGTGCATGCCTGTAGTTCCAGCTACTCGGGAGGCTGAGGCAGGAGGATCGCTTGAGCCCAGGAGTTTGAGCTTGCTGTGAGCTAGGCTGATGCCACGGCACTCTAGCCCGGGCAACAGAGAGAGACTGTGGCAACAGAGTGAGACTGTGTCCCAAAAAAAAAAAAAAAAGCTGGACTAGTTACTGAAATCAGCCCCCACAGTGATTGATTTGTATGCCCACAATATGCAATGGAAGCATACTTGCAACAGTATTTAATAGTTTGAGGTAGATAATTAAAAGATGGCATGATCTAGTTCAATTCATTTACTCTTAGTTTCATTTACTCTTAGTTCATGACTGAAAATTTAAGAATGTGGTATGTTTCTAAGCAGAAAGTCCATTTTCATTTTACTGCTTGTTGTCTAAGTAGACATACAAAAAAAAAGGCTTAGCTCAAGTTCACTTGTGTCTGTTTCCTTTTCTTTTCCAAGATTCTCATCTCTTTTACTTTCATTTGTCTTTTAAAAACTTAAATCCAGCCTTCAAAAATAGTAATAAGTGATGTATCTTCAAATGTATCAGCATTTATCACAACCATCACTCATTTGAAAGGGACAAAAATGCATGAATGTTTCCTAGTTAAAAATCATTGCATGTTTTTTAGTTTGCCAGATCCTTGAGCTGCTGCTTCCAGGAGTTGTTAAATTATTTCATGCTTTCCAATTTTAAAATGTTAGAGAAGAATTCTTCATTAGTTGATCACCTTTTTGGGGCCAACTCTAAGCACTCTGAGGCAGGGTGCTGAACTGAGTCCCATCAATACAAAGAATCATGCGTGTATTCATTGTGTCCCTGTGCTCAACACCTCACTTGACCAGTGTTTTGTTAAATAGACTACGATGTGAGTGGTGCCCCCTTGAGGATGCAACACTGGTCCTGGGAAGGAAGCTGCCAGTTCACATTCATTATCTCCTTCCCACGCTGCAGAAAGCTTGGGGATATATATATATATATTTATATATAAATATATATAAATAAATATATATTTATATATAAATATATATATATTTATTTTTGGTCAAGGTCCTTAAATACCACAAGGGTCAATTCCATATTTGCCATACTTTTAGCTGGGAAGGATTTTCACTCTGTCCTTGTTGATGAATTTTGAGTGGACTTCTGTCAACCCTTCTGCAGGTCCTGCTAGCTGTCACATTCTAGGAAGCCCGTCCTTAAAGGTGAAGGCAGAAAGCACTGGGAAGCAGTGCTAACATGGGATGGCAAAAGGGCTGTCCTAAAACCCTGTTACATTCTAGGACCAGTATTGAATTGGGACAGGGCAAAACATACGCTAAATGCCCTTATAATCTAACTCTATTATCTACATAAGAGACGACAGTTTAAATGAGGATAAAATGTGGCTCTTGGTAAATTCATCATTTGAAAATAAACTATACCCCTTTTCTTATAAGTAAAAACACATGTTCAGGATCAACATATTGAGTTCCCTGCCCCTTAAATGTGGCCCAAGCTGGAGGTACAATGGGCTGGATACACTGCAGACCAGGCACCCCAAGCAGCTTGGAGATAATGGATCACAGCTCTTCAAATCGTGATAAGAAGTGAATGGCCTCCAATAAAAACCCACTGCAAAAACTGGGAAAGAAACAATGTGAAAAATACAAAGGTCAAGGAGGCAGAGCCAGCCTAATTTGTGGTAGGAAAAGTCCTGGACTGACATTGGAGTGAATGCCAAGGGGTGGGTATATGTGGTATTTCCCAGAGTGGAAGGGATTTACAGATGCTGATAATATTTGAGAACCTGAGGAAAACTTGATTGTCCATTTCTTAATTTTCAAAAAGCTGGTTAGGAAAATAAAGGTGACTCAAAAAGAAAATCTTCATCTGACAGTGAGCCTTGATGACAGCAAATCAGAGTCTGCTAACAAACCAACAGGCTTTGCCACAGATAGAATTAATGTTTCCCATGAAATGAAAAGATTTAAATGAGGCAGAGCTGGGGCTGGCAAAGGAAGTAACCATGAATATCCTCAGATTGTAATTGCTTTTTATAAATAGAAACTAACTTAGCATTTTTGTACAGAAAATGAAGCTCAATATTGTTCGCATTGAGATATATATATATATAAATATATAAAATGAATCTGGATCTTGTTTTTCAGTGTAAATGCCCACCTTCTAATAAAAGTTGCATTGGGTATATTCATTTTAAAGTAGTATTTGGGAAAGTTGTTGAGGTTTTTGTATATCAATAGTACTAGTTACATTGAACAGATAAGTATTCTGTAGTTTCATTTAGCATAGATAAAAGAAGAATCAATGACATCGGTCAACCTTGTTAGTAAATAAAAATGTAACTAAGGTTTTATATCTAATGTTAGGTAAAATTGAATGCTCAATGCTATTAAGATTTCGTGAACTATAATGAAGTATAAAATGATATTAACTTTTATACAAAAAAATTTAGAAATATGTATCAGGCCATGAAAATGTATATACCCTTTGACCCAATAAACCCACTGTTGGGAATTTATACAAAGAAAATCAAAAACTTCTGTAGGTCCTGCTGGCTGCAGCCCCCCCCCCCGAAAAAAACCGAAGGAAAAAGCCCAATATACATAAATATGTTACAGTAATAACAAGAAGTTGGAAACAACCTAAATACCCAGTAAGACAGAATGGATACATAAATTATGATATAATTATACAAAATAGAGCTTATTGACAATTAAGCAGACTTTATAGCAGTGTTTAACTTAAAAAAAAGGCAAGTTACAGCACTGAAATTTTAGAGTAATGCATTTGAGAAAAGATGAAGTGGATATATAATTGTTCACAGTGGTAAAATTATAGGTGATTTTCTCACATTTTATATCATGTCATATATATCAAAAATACATCCATATTATGAGATGCATAAATCCTTCAATTCAAAATCATTTAATACAGATGCCTTAAAATTGCTGAATGAGAGGACACAGGGAAAGGTTCTTGTTTTGTGATTTCTTTTATCCCTCTAAGCACAATGCTTTGTTAACACTATGTGTATAGTAAGTGTACGTGCTGCTTAGGGTAAAGTATTTCAACTTAAAGTCAACTTAAATGCCCTAGGTGAATGTGTATTTCCACGTCAGAGAAAGCCCCAGAAAGAGCAGTGATGCTTTGCTCCTAGCTGAGCACTTATTTTTCCTCACATACTATGCATTCATCCATAGAATAGTAAAATAATATATATAATGTGCTAGACCCTAGTACAAGAATCCAATCTAAAAACTTCTAGATAGATAATTAAAATATGTCTAGTTTTGTTATTCACAAAACTGATGACATTGGATGGAATATTTTCCTCATCTGAAACAACTGTCAGTATCAAACAAGTGGTTATGCCTAACATAAAGAACTAGTTATCACTTAAAATAGTATTTTATCATTTTCACATCATTATTTGTAAATGCCCTTAGGTTTGAACACTAATTAAATTTGTTTTCAGCATTTTGTTGCAGAGTTTTGGAAGCAGCTCCTTTAGAATGCTCTAATAGCTTGATGGCCTTATCAGAGTTTTCAATATTTCTAAGCAGAGTCTCTAATCTTCTTTTAATTTTCTTCTGATCTTCAAGAGCACATCCAATTACTATGGATTGAAACTTCTGATCAACTGGCCCCGGTGGCACTTCAGACGAACATGCACTGTAGAGTGACATTAAATGACTTTTGGCATTTCCCAAATCATCAAGAAACTTATTGACTATTTCGTCAATAATCCTCGTGGCATGCTTTAGGGATTCTTGCTGCTGGGGGTTTCTAATTGTTTCTACTGAAACTTCAACGGTGAGAGTTCGTCCCATTAAACGGTTTGCAGTCAGATTTAATTCTTCTCTTTCTCCTAAACATAGAAAGTTTTGAAATATGAATCAGCGTGAGACATAAACTTATCTATGTCAAGAACACTAAAGCATTAATTTGTGGCCATATTTATTATTTTCCTTAAGGACTTCTGCTATGAAATTTTTAAAGGTAAAAGCTAGAACTATAGTATATAAGATTAACTGATGAAGTGTAATAGATTACAGAGAGAGGTGGTAGAATAAATACCTTTCCCTGAAAATCTTTACATGTGGGATACTAGATAACTGCTCAAGTTAGTACATCTGCAAAAGTTTGGGCAGGTATGCATTTGCAACTGGGATAGAGACCAAGTCCTAACACAGAGGGTGAGCAGTAAGCATAGGGTTTGTGCGGGGTAGAGCTTCAGAAATCAGATGTCCCAGATATCTGGATAAGGACATGTATGTTTATACACTGCCCCAAATTTTGGCTGAGAAAATGTAGCCATTATAGTAGAAGATAAGCTGGCCACAAAAGTAGGCACTGACTTCATCTCCTCCAGATAGATTTAAGCAGGCCAGTGGTCTAAGTCTTGGCAAACACAAGGAGGCAAGGATGGTAAAAGCAGCTCTGTAAACATTTCATTACTTATATGAAAAAGTCAGCAATCTCCTGCTGGTCCTATTCTGTAGCTTACTTCCTAATTCATTGATCTTTGGCGAGGATGGGGAAGAAACAGACTAGATGTGGATGCGTAACAGTTCTGGTCTGGAGTCAGACTGCACTCACCTCACCAGCTGCCTGGCCCACTAGCTTTGTCCTGTGGGGCACCCAAGGAGCCTAATTAGGAAGTCCAGTACCAATGAAAGATAGTCAGTGGTCATGCTAATCATGAAAACGAAGAGCACATTTTTACATTAATGGGTTTTATTGGTCTTGTAATTTACCTCATTTTCTCTTCATTTTCTCCCTTTCCTTTCTTTATGTTACACCTCAAACCATCTTCTTTTGTGTTTGCTTCTCTGCTTTTATATCTCTTGCACTCTAGTAACTTGTAAAGAACTGAAGTTAGGAATGTGAAACACATGGCCTTACTGCTTGGGGCTAGCTCTTCTGGAGCTGGCAGGCCTTTCCCTATCACTCCAGCCTGACCTGGGGGTAGGGAGTACACTGGAAAGAAAGATCTCTGAGCAAGTGGTTGTGGTAATAAACTGACAGCTGCAGCTGTTCCCTGCAGCTCACATTAAATACTGAAGCCTGGAGTACACATACCACAAGTCAAGCAAAAACTGACCCACAATGATCATAAACCCCTAAAAGGGTGTAAAAGACGAGTCCCCTTCTGTGGAAATGGCTCTCACCGTCACTGATCTGCCTCATGTCCTGGCTGTTTTGGATACTGTGGATCATTTCCAGGAGGATTTCTTTCTCTTGCTCAACAGCAGTTGCTGCGTCTCTCAAAGCTTCAACCCTATGGAAATTGGGAAAACAGTTGTTATTTGAAGGATGTTGTTCCTATTAATTTTCTTCATCTTCACTGAATCCAAGTCAAATTTAATAGGATCGTTAAAAAATTTTCAAAAATTCTTCATCCCTGTTTTAAAATTCTTTCATTTTTCTATTCTTTTTTTATCCACTTGCCTCACTCTTATTTTCCTCCCTTGCCGTCAGGCAGTCATTCTATTTAGTGTTTATTTGTATTTGTTCTTACAAAATCTGTACTCTTTATGTATTTTACATTTATATCTCACTCTGGTTTTTTTTTTTTTTCACTTACTTTATTAAGGGCCATCTAAATTCCCACGTGTACATCTAGTCAGATGCTTCTAAATGGTCAAAACTCTATGTGTAGTATCCCTACCTGATTTTAACTCTCCACTCTCCCAGAGATGGACAATCAGGTTGTCCACCAACTTCTCATTACTATAAATAACACTTCAGTGAATACAAGTCCACCAAAGGACCTGGGGAAGAATTTCCTTAAGTATATATCCAGGGCAGAATTGCTGAGACACAGGATATGTGTCCCCTGAATCTGACTTGATATTATTTTCCAGAATGGCTGTGCCAGTCCACTCTCCACAGCAAAGGAGTCTCCACATCCCTACATTCCTACCAATACTCAACATTTTCTGACTTTCTATTTGCTGCCAGTCTAATAGATGTACACTGATTAATAATTTTGGACATTTCTGTATTCTTGTTAGCCTGATCATAGACTTCCCATTTTGTTTAAACAGGAGTTACTATCTTGTTGATTTGCATATTCAAGATATTAATTCCTTAACCATGCAACCGTCTCTCATCCTTCATATATGAACTTTGGGATGTCCTTCACTGAACAGAGAACCTTATTTTGATGTGATAAAATTCATCTTTTTTGTTTGTTTTTGCCTTAAGGTTTATGCTTTTGAAGTTTTCCTCACCCCTATGTAATAAGATATTTTCCTACATTTTCTTCTATTAACTTTATAGTTTTATCTTATTAACTTATAGTTAAGGATTTTGTTTTATTTTTCTCCAAATAGTAAGCCATTTTCCTCAATGAGTTGTATATTAAATTTACCTCTAAAATCTCTATTCCATACATTAGTATATTTCACTATTCTTACACAAATACCTTTTTAATAGCACTGGCCGTGTACTATGCCTTAATATTTGGTAAAGCAGGCCCCCCCATCTTTAAAGATAACTTAGCTATTTATGGATCTTTATTCCCCCATTAAACTCTAGAGTAAGTTTACTGGGTTTCTTAAAAAATTGGGAGAAATTTGGTATCTTTATAATGTTGTCATTCCATTCACAGGCATGTATCTCTTCATTATTTTAGATCTGCTATATACTTTATAAGAGTATTGAAGTAGTCTTCATAGTAGTATTGTGGACTCTTGAGAGTTCTAGATACTTGAATAATTTTAATTACGTTTTCTAATCTATTGCTGGTTTGAGAAATTCTGTTTTTGTAGGTTCATCTTGTAACTGACAACTTTGATTTACACTTACTCATTTTAATGGTCAGTCTGTTGATTCTATTGCTTCTTCTAGGTTGATGATCATATCATCTGCAACAGTTTTTATCTCTTCCTTCTCAATCCGATACCTCTTATATTTTTCTTTATAGTCCTCCAGTACCGTAACAATGGCAGTGATGGGGGCATTTTTGTCTTTTCTCAAATTTAAAGAAAAGTTTCTGTAGTTTTTTGGTGTTAAGCCTTGATCAAACTATAAAAGCACTACTTTCTTCACATCCTCCAACTACACACACATGCACTTACTACACATACCCTTAAACATACTTAGTCATTAAATAACGAGGTTGTAGAATCATGAGACCAAGAGGAAACAAAATACCTTGTATATTTAAAGTGCTCTATTTCCAGGGCACTTTCTTATTATAGATTACAGTAGTAACTAAGCTGCCAACTTTTATGAAATGAAATAGTGACAGACCTATCACCAATATTTGGATGGCGATACAAGAAATGCTAGAAATACAAGGTGGCGAAAGATCTAATCCTGGTTGCTGCCTTAAGCAAGCACAGAAGGAACAACCTCACCAATGTGCTAGCACATGTCAATTCCATAAAAGGATCCCCCTTCCTCACTCCAACCACACATATGCCTTTTTCCCTTCCGTCACCCACCTGTTATAACCAAAAATAGCACTGATAGGCTGCAAAATCACAAGAGTGGCTTTATTCTTCAAGACATTAGATATATATTGAACTTTGTGTTTCTAAGAGCCAGTAAAAAAGAGCTGGTAAGAATCTCATGTGACAAATTTGGCTGGAGAATAACATTAAATACAATATTCTACAAAGTAGTAGTAATGCAGTATCAGGCCCTCTTCCAGTACCATTTCACTATTTACTTGAATATTTTATATTAACGAACTCTTAGATGGATAAACTGGGGCCCAGAACATATGAAAGAGATTGAGTTGGCACTAACATGAAATGTTTATGTTAAAAACACAAACCATGACGCTACTATTTAGATAAATGACACAGATGAGTCATGTGATTGGTAAATGAGAAGATGCTGAAAGAAGAGATTAATTTTTCAACAATTGTATTCAAATGTAAGACTATATAGAGAACTGAATGCTGTTCTCCTTTTTAGGAGGATTTCATTTACCACAATGAACTTACAATAGTAAGTTCATGGAGTTAACAAAATAAATTAAAAGGAGACATTCTAAAAAATATATAATAAACTCATCATATGAACAGAATATCTTGCCATTAAAGGAGAACAAATAAAATTAGATGGAACTTCTAAGTGTTGTGTCCCCCCCAAACACACACAAGGCTTTTTAAAAAACACATAATAGAAATTGCCAGGGCATTATTTTCCCTGTGAAAATCAGATTTCATTTTTTTATAGAACTTTGTATATACATTTTTATGTATACCCTATTCAGTTCATAGTAAAGATCAAATGTCATTCTTCAGAATGTAAAGATTTCAGGCTTTTTTTTTTTTGAGGGGGGTGATCATGGGCTTTTCATTTATATTCCCTCTTCTTATAACATTCTTTCTCCCTGACCCTTTTCTACTTGGTGATCCTCTTCAAAACCCAATCCCTTTGGCAGGAACTGTTTCCTTAACAACTCCCCCCCACCTTTCTTTCCTTTAAGGCAATTAATGCTTCCTTTTGCATTGTACATCTGTTTAGTGTATGGACTACATTTTAGTTTTAATTTTTTCTTTTAAAAAGCTGAACCTAGGTCTCTATTTAGTTTAAGTTATATCTGTACTGTCTGTCAGTTATTGCTATGCTTAAACTCATATATACATAAATCTTTTATCTGCAAATTTTCCATTAGTTCTAGAAAATTCTTAGCCATTGTATCTTTGAATATTCCCTGTCTCCCATTCTATTCTTCTTCTTCTGGAACTCTGGCTAGACAAACGCTGTACCATCTCACTTTATCTTTCATGTTTTTAAATATCTCATCTGACAATACTTCTCTTGCCACAGAGGGGTAGTTCTGTTTTCACTAACAGATCCTGGAAGCAGCTACATGTCCAAATTGGGAAAGAACTTATCCTCACATCAAGGCTGGCCTGGGCCGTGCTCCTGGAAAACTCTGTGGTGAAATCACAACTAAGTAGGCTTTGACAAAAAGAAATTTTAGTCAGAATATTCATACGAGGACAAAACTGGAGGGCATACTTCAGTCAGTCCCCAGGTCTCGGGCACCTTACAAATCTTTGCAGCCTACATATCAAAAGGACAAAGTGTTGAGAGACTTAGAAGTATATACATTAGCAGTTTTCACCAAGACTGTAGCTACTATTGCTATAACAGCTCATAGAGTCTGCAGTGGAAACTGCTGGCACTCCTATGTACTAGCTGTGTGACCTTGAGTAGTTTACTGTCTTAGCCTCCATTTCCTCATCTATGAATTAGGAATAATAACAAGATGGTAGTTGTGATTGAATGAAGTAAAGCAGATAAAAAGTTTAACAAAGTGACTGACAGCATTGACTAAAAAGAGTGTATGTACATGAGTTAATAGGCATAACATGCCTAGGATTGGTGGTGGCATAATTTAGCTTCATAGTAGTTATTATATACTTACCATGAATGCAAGCTTATTTATTAATAACAAGAATCTGTGCATTCATAAAAAGGAAGGAAAATGGCAAATGCTCATATGGATTTATGTGAAAGAATTTCTAAAACAGGTTCTTAAACTCATAGTCCTCTTATTCTATACTCTTGTATCAAAACAATGCTACCAATGATCACTTAATATTTTAGGCTGTGTAAAATTTTGAAGAGTTTTCTTAATCGTCACCAACATTTTAAATTACATTTACTATCAAGATACTTGGGTATAATAAAAGGGATTGGTGTTTTTAGTGTTAAGAGCTACTCATCAGTAGTATGTCCCTGGGCAAGCCACTTAATCCCTTTGGACCTCAGTTCTCTCATTCCAGAAGAGATAATATGTGCCCTTCTCCTGCCTCAAGAAGTTTTGTAAGTTTCAAATGACAATGTATATGAAATCGCTCTTTTAAATTGCAGGCTGTTATATAATATTAACTATAATGTCATCTTGTTTTGTGACTCCTAGAACACTGGCACACCCTAATGAGAAAATTTGAGTCAGAAAAATGATCCATGTCCCCCCTGCCCCAACACTTTATTTCCTGGCTGCAGGTTAAGCCACAGCAAATGGCTGATAAGAGGGGGGAAGGAGCTACTACATGACCAGTTTTTGGAAATGTGTGACAGCCAATCTCCCAGTCCTATCATTTCCTCTACTAATCTCTAAAACCTAACCCCCAAACATCTTCATTACCATCTTGAGCCTTCTAGGAACCATCTAATATCTGGCACACAGTGGGTGTTCAATATTTACTAAGTTAAAGGCTAATTTAAATTGAATTTTCATCCCTTTCAGTAAAATCATATATTCATCCATATATCATTCCTAGACTTGTAAATATGACATATTTAAGTAAATTCAGGCATAAAGTGTTAGAGCCTGGAGAGCCAGGCTTCCTGTGTTCAAATTTGGAGTCCACTACTCTCTAGTTGTGTGACCTTGGACAAGTCATTTAAGCTTCTAAGCCTTAATTTCCCATCTGTAGAATGGAGATAACAGTAACTTCCACAAAGATGTGGGGCCTGGCACAGAGTCAGTACTCATTAAATTAATAAATGTTTACATGTGTTATTTATAAATTATAACTGTTAAGAAGTAACAATAATAAGCAAGGTGACTTTAGCCACTAACAAATGCAAAATTCAGACTCCATTTAGAATTGATCATGAAAACCAGGAGAGAAAGGAAACACCTCTTTAGGACAAAGCAATCAACAAAGAAAGGCTACTGTACTGATTAAGTATTAGAAACAAACGGAAATTCTTTAACAGTTTGTAGAATTGATGCCAAACATTTTAAACATCATGTAGGCCAGTTCAGACTCCAGATCATAAAGCATTTGGTATTATCCTGTTTGCAGTTGCATATGGAACTTATCAGTTTTGCAACTGACAGTGTGGTGGGGGCACAGTAAGTGCATAACATTTCTAAGTACAAACTTTAACGTTTTACTCTACCCAACACACTACTTTATCAGTCACACTTAATATGAAATCAAGCTATTAGAATCAAATTACATATGTTTCATGTTTTCTTTTAAAAATCTATCTTCTTCTAGGTATGATTTTAATTTTAATAGTGTAGTACCCTGTGACATTGCCCATGTGGTATTTTTGCTTACCTTCTCAAACACTTCCTTAGTTTTCAGTTAGTATTATTTTTTAAAAGAAACAAAGCTTACAAAAGTCTAGACTTACTAGAAAAGTCCTTGAAATGAACAATTAGACACATATTAATCAGACTTTCTTCCTCAGCTCAAGTGTTAATTAAGCAAGTTGTAATGTAATCACTTATGTGCAGTAATCAGAACTCATTTTACATTAAGCAAACATTAGAATATAATAATACTAAAATCCAGAAGCTTTCTTTTAGAGAGGAGCACTTAACACTGTTTTTGCACCTACCACAAGTGAGGCATTAATTCAAGTTTGAGGACAATGACTCAGCTTGAAGGAAGGAGGGGTAATCTCTTCAAGTCTTTTAAGAAAAAAATCTTTTCTTTCTGACTAGGGGAGAAAGACTGAAATGACTGAGAACATGGCTTCAAAGTTCCAAAGACCTGGAGAGATGTGAGAGTTACTCACTATGCTGCTAATAAAAGAAATACCAGTTAGAAGGACTTTAAGTAGCTGAGGCCCCTAATCTCTACTTTTGCTCCACTGTTTCTGGGAGTTGAACGGGTCAGGTTTGCTAGTTTTGTGAAAATCCCTGAGGAAACATTCCTTCTCTATTCCGTTTGGCTCATTCTCAGATGAACCCCAGAAGCTGGTTTAGGGCTTAGGTTTCTCTGTTGCCAGCCATGAAACTGTTGTGGGAGGAGAATTTTCACTTTCTGGTTCTTTTCTCAATAGTAATAATAATAAATTTGCTAAGAGATACTGTGGCTATTAATTTAATTTTCTGGCAAACAGACCCTTCTTCCGGTTTTGGTATATTAATGGAGGGAGGTAAAGACACACGTGCAGCGCTTCTTTCGTTCGGAACTCCTGACCTTGAGCCATCCGCCCGGCTCGGGCTCCCAGACAGCTAGGATTACAGGTGTGAGCCCCGGCGCCCGGCAGCTTCTTAAACTTTTTGGTTTACCTACTTCTTCGCCCATCCAGAACCTGCCGAAAGCTAGGGAACAAAATCCTGCGTATACTTTCAGGGGATTGTAGGTGCCTTAGTAACATTTTCATTTAACTACACCTGCACACAAAATTTACAAAGTAAACGTTGTAGACATACAACGTGTACAGGGAGCACATAAAAGTTTAAAATACACTGTTAAAGGGGAAAAAAATGTCTTTCCGGAATTCATTCATACTATTTAGACATTCTTTACAAGCCCACTACTCTATTAACTACTTAATGAAATCTTAAGCACGCAGAAGTGAAAAGCTGTGGCTATCTTTTCATGCTTTCTGGTCAGCGACTAGCACTTTCAAGGTGTCAGCAGGGTCTTCTATATAAGAAGGTGCACAGTAAATACCGAGGGGCCAACAAAATGCCTGAATACGGGATGGGGGGTGAGGAGAAAAAGGAAAGCTGCAATGTCTTCATGAACGCAGTACACAGTTGTCCCTTGCCCACAGCCCCCTCATTCGTCCTACTACTCTCTACTCTTTGCTTTCAGATGAATTCCCGAATTTTTTTTCCCCCTTTTCTGCTCTGAAATGTTTTGGAACAAGAAAACTTTTTTCACATGGAGGGTCACGGTAAACTGCTGCCTCCCCTAAAAATGCCTGACAGGAAAACAGTGAGTTAAAAACATGTGGGACCACCCAGAACGTTCTAGAAGTTCTGCAGGCCCAGCGTGCCACAGTCCTTAACCTCAAGTCACGTCACTGTAACTTTTACCTTCTCTCATCTTCCTCCGCTCTGCAATGCCCAAGGTGTTATCATTGAGAATGTGGCCCCCAAGAACGCGCTCACAGGCTTAAAACGAATGCGTTTTCTCTCCCACGAGGAGAGGAACATCCACCAAGAAACACAACGGCACCACGTCCCTCCACCGCAAATCCCAACGAGCAACTTCCTCGCCGCAGCGTGTCCCGGGACTGTGCCCCCGGCCCCGGCCCGCCACGCGCCGCCCGCCCGCCCGGCGCCGCTCACCTGAGCTCCAGCTGGTCCAGGCTCTCCAGCAGGCGGCTGGAGCGGTCGGCCATGGAGGAGGAGCGGCAGAAGCGCCCCTCGTTGGCTTTGGCGTTGATCTTAGCCTGAGCCATCTAAGCCGCTGAGGCGGGGCGGTCGAGAGGTCACCGGCCTCTCCGGCGGCAGCGAGTGGAGCGCTCGGGGCCGCGAGCGTCGCCGTCACCGCACGGAGCGCCCGCCCTCCTTCTGACGCCCGCGGGGGCGGCCCAGGAGGACGCGCCGACACCGCCGGCGCTGCCGCGTGGCCAAACAAGGGCAGGCGCGGCGCCCGCGGGGCTCGGGGGCGCCGGGCCTGGGGCCTGGGAGGGGGCTACCTGGCCACCGGGGCCCGAGCCGCCAAAGCCTCCGACACACCGCGAGGGGCGGACGCACAAAGGGGCAGCGCCGACGTGGTCGGTCGATCCTTCCGCTCCCCGGACCCGGCGACAGCCCGCGGCCCGTGCGGAGACCCGCGGCACACGCCCGGCCCCGCCCCGCGACGCCCCGCCTCTCCGAGCAGCCCACAAGTCACCAACTCCCCACACGCCGAGGTGCCTCTCGGTGTACAGGCTGTGGGCGTGCTGCTCGGGGATGGCTTCGTTTAGTTGCTCCCAGCACCCACAAATCAAAGCCAGGACAACACCTGGCTTTTCTCCCCCGTATCAAATACGGGGGAGAAAAGGTCCCTTTGTGAAACAGAAGCGTGTAAATGCAGCTCCTAGGCAGTCTATACTCACCTGACCTGCCCAGTTACCAGGCACTCACATTCCGAGTGAGAATAGTGAAAGCCCCGGCATCACTAAAGCTGTAGAGTAAAAACAAAAACAAAAAAACCCTACCTTATCCCTTCCCCTCTAGCTAGATATGGGAAGCAAGGTGAGTTCACATTTCCACCCATTCTAATGAAGGGGTTTTAAATTGTTTTCCTATTGAAAAAAAATTATTCCTACTGGAATTTGAGGTAAATAATTGGTAGTAAGAAGGCCACTTCACATCCAACTTATTTAAAGTTTTTATTGTAACTTATGTTACAATAAAAAGATGCAGTAGGCCCCAGTAGGCCTAGGTACCACCAATAGGTTAGCCACCATAAAGGTCAGTAAAAGATGGGGTAGGGCTAGGAGTACAAAGATTTGTCTATTGAAAAAGTTGTGCTTTGCTGCCCTCTCATGATAGCTCTATGCCTCATACTGCAAGCATGAAAATGTACCGGGCACTGAAAATGATAGATGGTAACAGTTTAAAGCTAAATCACAACCTTTAATTAGGGATCAAAGCTATTTAATTACTTCAACAGAGATGAGGCCCGCAAGCCTGGATTCCATTTACTTCTGAACTCATACTATTTAACTACTATTGCAGGGGATTATTTGACTTCATTAAAAATGTTTTGTCATATGATACAAACTTAAAATTCAAACACATTTTGTGAATGGTCTGAAAGTCTTATCAAGTGACTTTAGAATTATCCTGGACTCTTTCTCTCATATCCTAGATTCAATACATTAGTAAATCCCATCAATTCTACCTTCGTTATCTATCTAGATTCTTCCCAATTTCATTGCCACCACTCTGGTCAATTTGCACCTGAAGTACTGCAATACTCTGTTATCCCTGTTCAACTCTTGCCCCTCATGTATAGTCTTGGTAAGATAAACACAGCAATTCTTCTAAATACGGCAGATCACACCACTTATTCTTAGAAACCTACAATGGCCCCTCATAGAGCAGAAGCCAAAATCCTTAGAAAAACCTCAAGGACTTCAATTCCTATTACTCTCCTAGCTCATTCTGCTTCAGCTATCCTGGCTGCCTTGCTTTTTCTTGAATGTACCAAGTTCCCTTCTAGACCTCCTCCTCCACCTGGAACACCTCTTTATATATATATGTATTTGCATGGCTCATTCTCTCACCTTCCTCAGGTCTTTGCTCAAACTCATCCATCAGTGAGATGGTTCCTGACCACCCTATTAAAAATAGCAGGCCTCCTTCCAATACCCCCATCTTTGCACTATTTATTCCCTTCCCCTCATTTTCCTTTATTACACTTAACACCATCAGATATGATATTTTATTTACTTAACACTCTGTCCAACCCTCATCTCTCCCTCAATGTATGTTCCATAAAGGGGTGGAGGCTCTGTTTTGTTCACTAGTGCACCCAAGTGCTTAGAACAGTCACTGGCACATGGTAAGTACTAAATAAATATTTGTGAGTGAAGAATGAATGATATACTTAAAAGATACGCATCTTTGTCAGTGTTAGAAACATTTACTTTTGATAATCTGTGTAACTTTCTCTAATGTCATACAGTGATTACATTTCCTTGTGTCTAAATTAAGTTCAAGTTATGGAATAATTTTAAAAATGATTTTTAATTATTTAACAAGTAGAAATACAATCAGTGACAATTATTAAAATATTAAACCACCCAAATTACCATTTTTAAGGGTCGTGATGAAATATTCCTTTCCTGTTGTATCAAAGGCTTCAGTTATTCTCTACCACACACACCACAAAAGCTTCTTAATAGAGCACCAATGTACATCACATCTCTGGCAAAAAGGTGCTATCTCCTCTTGCCCCATATTTGCTTAACCACTCTTCTTTCTGGAATGCTATTTTGGCTCCTCACTTCTTAGCAAGCTCCTGCAGATGTGTTTAAGGTCCAACTCAGTGACTACCTCCTAAAGCTTTGCTTGAACACTTTAACATAAAAATTAAAAGCACAATGTGGTCTTTTGGAAAGATGATTGGTAAATTCTCATGCTACAATGTCTACTTTTTAGAAAATGCAAGCAGGGAGGAAAATAAGTACATCTTAAGACACAAATTGGTTTCTGATGTGGATTGAAAAGACTATAGTAATTTAAAAAAAGCAATTCCATGACATGCTAAAAAATCTAGTGTTTAGTGTTGCAGAAAAGAAACAAAATTCTGGCCATGATAACTTTTTGTCTTAAATATAAAGAAAAGCTTTATATTTCTAGAAATATTTTCAAGTTTGGTAAATAATTACTTCTCAAAATTTTTAGGGATAAGATTTCTGATCAAATAACATAAGACATATGCAAAGATAGTATGACAAGCCCTTCTTAGTCTTATACTTAAATGATAATTTTTATCATTCACAATGTGGCTGGCAACATGTAAGAATTAAATATGTAATACCAAATATAGGAAACTGACAACTGAATAACTAAACTGAAGATATTCCGTGTGAAATAAAAATTTTAAAGAGTTAAGGAAGATTATTCCTGAGTAGACTGTCAATATTTTTTGATGACTATGTTTACACAAATATATAAAAAAGGACTAATATTATTAAAAAATAAGTTTAATTTTATGCAAATATTTTGACATCTTTCCCTTTAAACAGATCATACAATTCACATAAAAGTCTAAGCAGGTAAAAGGAATGGAAAAGGTTTCATTTTAATTATTTTTTAAAAACTAAGGTGTACTTTTTATTTTAGCCATGTGCTGCTCTAATTAAAGCAAGAATATACATCTGCATTATACCCACCAAAAACATCGCTGATAAAATTTTTAATGTTTCCATGATTAATTTCCATTACCCTCTTTTAATAATCATAAACAAAGATCTCAAAGGTATCATATATTAGTGCCACATGAGATGGAGAATTTATGGAAAAATTGACCTGTGGCACCTTTATTTATATTCATTTTCATGCCTAAAAGAAGTAGACTAGAATCATCTGTATAGTACAGATAAACTTAAAGAACTAATGCTACTTGGGAAACATAAACAACAGTCAAGAGCTTTCCTTTTTTTTTTTTTTTTTAAATCCTTTTAACTTAAATATATGAATCCAAAGTTAACTGGGAAACTGTAATATCTATATTAGAATACATGATTTATATTTGCATTAACGCGTATTGTATTCCTTCTGTACATTTTTGCACAACAGCACAAAAATACAAAGCAAATATCAGAGTTTGAACATATGAAAGCAGAAACATGTTTTCAAATACATTTGTACTAGTGGATTTCTGGTCTCCTTTAGGAAACAAACTCAAAAGTTCATTATCCTGAGTCTCTTCAAGGTCACTTGATGTTGTGTGGTAATATCTTTAATTACATTTCCTCAAGACTTCTTCTAATAGCTTCTTCTAATTCCACATCTGCATTAAAAAAATATAGAATTTTAAAACGTAGGGCAGAAAACTAATCAACATGTGGTTTATGTAAATTTCAAGTATATTCATCTTTTCAAGAAGGAAAGGAAAATCAAAATGGAAAAACTTACGATAACTTGGCAGTTTCTCTGCCAAAAGTGTTGAGTATTTTGAAATATGAGAATCTATAGATACGATTTCAAATTGAACTTTAAATGTATATGAACTTTATGTGCTCAGGAACTTGCAAGTTATTTTCATTTAGAAATAACAGAAAGTCAACAAACCTTTCAAATTTCTGACAGATAATCACTTGTTTCAACATTAAAAGAAATAAAATCTGTATCACTTCTATCCTAAAAGGCTTGAGGTGATACAGAAAGCAACACCATGAAATGACAAAATCTCACAGGCTGTTGAAAATTTAGCTTTTTTTATTTGTCAATTATACCTCAATAAAGCTGGGGGAAAACTGAACTTTAAGTTTCTAGCATCTAAGGCAAAGAGTGAAATTGACAGCTATATAAATGTCACCTGAGAAGCATACAATATATATTGTATGTAGACTCATTTAACAAATACTTTTGAATTCCCACTCTATACCAGAGATAGGAATCCAATGGTGAACAAGACAGAAATTACTGGGTTCACAGGCCTTTTTTCCATCTCTTCTCTGGGAATGATGCTAAAACCCAGTGTCTTTCTTGGCCTTCATTAGTGTCTCACACCAGATTTATCCTATCCTGTCTGGTCCACAGTCTCTCAGAGCTTAATTGGTTTATAGGGACCAGTGATCCCTCTAAGATGTAACTGCACCTTCCCCTAAAGTTGAGGCACTGGTGTTATGCTGTCTTTACAATACTGTAAGCTATCATAAACTGTGTATTATGTTAAAACTACATTCTAGAGTCAGTGAGTTGCCCTAAGATGAATTCAAAGGGATGAGGAAATGCAAAGAAAGGCCCAGACACTCTTACCAAAGAAAAATAAGGTGATGACTTGTCTAAGAGATGAAAACTTATTATAAAGTTACAGTAACGAATAATGTGGTACTAGTGCAAGAACAGATAAATAAACCAAAGGAACAGCACAGACAGCTCAGAAATAGACCCATATATGGACACTTGATTTAAGACAAGGTAGCACTGCAGATGGTGGGAAAAAAATTATTTTTTTAAATAAATGGTGGTTAAGTCAACTGATAGAAACATAAAATTTGAGCCCTATCCTTAAGGAATACACAAAAATAAGTTTCAGATATACTGTATATCTAAGTGTGAAATGCTAAACAAAAGAGCTTCTAG